CTTTGTAAATATTGCATATAGCACTGATTGGAAAACACGTAATATTTTATCTCAAAGCTTTACTGACACTGTTGTGAGTGTGACATTGGTGAGCAAATACACTGTATTAGTAATGCGTGCCTTATATTAGCAAACACCACTAAATACAAGGCTGCTGAAAAACTGTTTGTTTACTATGCATGTATGAAATCATCTTATGCCTCAGAATTTGCCTCAGTTTCAAACATTAGACTGAAGCTTATAATTACCCGTTGAGCTCTTGAGTCATTACAGATAGACTTGTGTGCTGCCAAATGAAACGTTCGTTTATGTTTTTACGACAAATGTATATGTTTAGATTTAATTGAGAGCCGTCACGCCAAAACCGTAAAGCTAAAATTGTACAGCAAACCTGCAGGTGGGAAGACAGACTTGGCATTATTTCTGTGAAGTGCTTCAAATAGTTTCTACACATGGAAAAGTGACCCTGTTAACATCTCCAGATATCAAATGAGCCTTCAAATTAACGTTCCAAAGTTCAGCCAAGGGCTTCGTCTAAGTTATATTTACAAAAACACGGAAAAATGCAATTGACAGTCTCCTGAATGCAAATACCAGACTTCAGGAACAACGCCAGGCCTCAGATATCCTTCATTTGGGATCCTGAGGATTTGTTAAATGAAGTTTGACTTGGACGTGTTTTGAAAAGCGAGGTGTGGAGGTGTAACAGGAGAAGTAACGGGGGTAAACAGAATAACAGGCCCGAGGCCATGGCGAGACCACGCAGATGTGTTTACTGGAGAAGAAAAAGAGAGGATGGGAAAGTCGACATGCTCACAGGACGGACCACCCTGAACGAGGCGCACACAAGGCCCAGACGAACTAATTTAGTGAAGGATTAAACAAAAAGGCTATTGTGTTTTTCCACAATCATTCACAATTATTAATCATTAAACCCATTGTGGAAGGTCCTGTTCGGGATCAGTATAGGCGAAGATGGGGCGAGATGCATCAGTCAATGTGGGTTAGAATAGTTAATACGTTTTATTTTCTATTTAAATTTTCAATAGTTTCCGTTTTTTAGTTTAGTTTTCTTCAGTATTTCATCCCAGCCTAAAACTGCAACTGTTCTATTTAAAATTGTGTTTTGACAAATTAGTTTATTCGGCAGAATCCCAGTAAAAGAGATTCACCTGAAAGGTATAACTTCTATATGGGCAATATTTACATATTTAATTGCCCATGTTTTAATAGAAAATATATGTCGTATTAGCAACAAATTGAATGATTTTATTCAGCTATAGGTTTTAAAAGGGATAGTTCACCCAGAAATGAAACTTGAGAACTAGGGCTGTCAAACGATTAATCGCATCCAAAATAAAGGTTTGTGTTTACATAATATACAGTATGTGTGCGTATAATTATTTTGTATATATATATATATATACAGTAAATATACACACATGCATGTATATTTTAGAAAAAAATTAGGACTGTGCAAAAATTAATTGCGATTAATCGCATCTAAAATAAAAGTCTGTGTTTACATAATATATTTGTGTTTGCTGTATATAATTATTTTGTATATATAAATACACACACGCATGTATGCATGTATATATTTAAGAAAATGTGTTATTCATATATAAAATATTTATATTTATATAATATAGATTATGTATTTTTATATATATATACAGAATTTAAGCGCAAATCTTAAATATATACATGCATGCATAGGTATTTATTTATACAAAATAATTATATACAGCACACACAAACAGACTTTTATTTTGGATGCGATTAATCGCAATTAATTTTTGCACAGCCCTAAAAAAATATTTATTATATATAAAATATTTATATTTTTATATAATATATATTGTATATAAATCTATCTACAGTACATACATGAAAATATTTCTTAAATATATACAAGCATGTGTGTGTGTGTATATATATATATATATTTATATTATAATTATACACAGTGGACCCACATATATTATGTAAACACAAACTTTTATTTTGAATATGATTAATCCCGATTAATCGTTTTACAGCCCTATTGAGAACCCTCAAGTTGTTCCTGAATGTATGAATTTCTCTTTTTTTCTGCTGAACACAGACAGAGATAATTTGAAGAATATGGGTAACCAAACAGTTAATGGAGCCCAATTTGTTTCTATACTATGTAAGTCAATCAATGGGGACCAGAAACTGTTTGGTAACCAACATTCTTCAATATAGTCTAAGAACTGTAAATATAACTGTAAATAAAAAAAATGGTGTGAACTATCCCTTTAATGAAAAAATGTCGAATTCTTGAATCATGAACTACAAAAAATAATAACACTAGTAACAACATGCTGAAATGCTTTATCACAAATCACTGGGACTATCAAGCAGGAAATGGTGAGAATGTCAGAAAGTCTAGTGCAGATAAACATCAATGTGTGCATACTTCATAGACGAGTACATGACAAAGCAGGCATCTGATGTCTGTATCATCCAACGACTAACAAAGCAAAGCTCAAACTGGGGGTTTTCCATTGATTTGACAAACTGCAGACTTTAAGGAATCATTCTTGTCTGTAGCTCAAATGGTGAAGGATGAGATACAACTACAAAGTTGAAAACTAGGATTAGGAATTTGTTCACTAACCCCAAGAATGTGCAATGATAATAGTGATGTTGTCTTAACAAACATCACTTACTGTAAACACTGTCAGGCCAGTTCATTGTTAACTCTTTCCCCGCCAGAGTTTTTTTCTTAAAAGTTGCCAGCCACTGGGATTCAGAGAGGTTATCTAAGCATATGGAGTAAATCAAGTCCATCAACATCCCTAATGCTTGCACAGTCCTGTAACTCATCCTGGATCGACATTTTATTCTTTAACATGAGGCGGTTTTGATTTATATGCCGTTTAATGTTGAGGATCTCGTTTGCACGATATATCGGCCACCATATCGGTATCGGCCGATATTTGCTCATTTTTATGTTATCGGTATCGGCCCGAAAATAAAATTTGGCTGATATTTTAAAGATGATAAATAATGAATTATTTCCTTCAACACTTGACACCTGAGACACTTAAGATGCACACTGTTCAACATGATTGATCTTAATTGCTTGAAATATGATTGGAATCAAAAAGGAAAATATAGTTAAGTGTAAAATGTGCTGTCATATCGGCTACATGAAATTATAATGAGAACATTATAATTGTGTGATTGGGAAATGGATTTTAATTGTGAGACTTTTGTTTTTGCAATCAGGCTTTCAAAAATTATATAAAAATAGGATCTAGATTTATCGGCCGATATATCGGTTATTGGCATTCAAATATAAAGAATTATCGGTTATCGTATCGGCCAAAATGTTCATCCCTATGCATATGATTACATATCAGATCACTTGTTTCTGCATCTTCTTTGCATGTGTTTTGAACAGATTCTGCACTTTTTCAGTGTATAACACGGAAACCAGAAAATTCTGTGTTTGGCGGGGAAAGAGTAAATGGAAAAAAGTAAGAAAACATGAGCTGGAAAATAAACTAAAATGCATTTTCGCCACTCCAAAACTAACTGAAATAAAAAATAAAAAATTCACAAATTAATTTCAGTTTTAGACTGTGATGAAATACTAAATACTAAAACTGACAAAGGAAAACTAAACTAAAAAAGATTAACCTGAATCTTACAATGAGAGTGAAACTAAAACAAACTACTCCAATCCTGGTCTGGTACACGGTTATATAAATCACAGACATGACTTCTTTTTTCTTATAAAGGAAGGGATTTGTTGTGTTTGTTATTTCCGAAGCAGACATAAACTTCCTGTGTAAGATCACACTCGGGTCCTGTAATCATCTAAACCAGGAAGATTAATAGACTAAACAAACAAATATCTTAACATGGCTAAAGCATGATTGTCTTTCCATGGTTAATCATTGCACTGGGCTGCATAAAAATAGTTTAAAACGTGCAGTTTAAGAGACTCAACGTAGTAATCCACTCTGTAACAGCTTGAGTCGGTTTAAGGTTTAAACCAAGGTCACCCAGACTTCCCTCATTTTCCACACAGCTCTTCCCACATCTGCTTTGTAAATTATTCCAAGTCGGACACTTGAAAGGTGAACCCAACATCCTCATTACAGAGGAATGCCTGAGAAACATGTATGATAAATATTTGGGAGAGCAAATATGAGACAGTCGCTGAGATTTTTCAGATGTGCATGGACACCATGCATTCTTTCATAAACAGACATACTTAGCATTATGATTTCTTCCATTCATTTTTGATCGCATCCACTTACAATGGATTGAGAAAGAGACAACCTGCCTTCCTATGGTGGTCAACAGAATGGAAAATGTGGATTAGATTAGGCGAAAACAGTGAATCCTTGACATGACAAGCTTTATTGTCTCTGTAAAGTGAGATTTAGGAGGGGTTGAAATAAAGAAAAAGGTTTTGCCACAGGCATTTCACAAAAACCTCATTTTACATCTTTAGACAAAGCATTTAGGGCTTGTGTACAATAACTGCAGTATCACCTATCATGGTACAAAAGCTGTCACTGGGGCTGTACTTTTTCAAAAGGTAAACTTTTGTCCATTTTAGGTGGTAATATGTACATTTAGGTGGTAATATGTGCATTTTAGGTGGTAATAGTACATTTAGGTACTAATATGTGCATTTTAGATGTTATAATATGTACATTTTAGGTACTAATATGTGCATTTTAGGTGCTAATATGTGCATTTTAGGTGCTAATATGGACATTTAGGTGCTAATATGTTCATTTTAGGTGCTATTATGTACATTTTAGGTGTTAATATGTACATTAAGGTACCAATATGCACCCTTTAGGTACAAAAGTGTATCTTTTGAAAAGGTACCGCCACAGTGACAGCTTTTGTACCTTTTTTTCTGAGAGTGTATATGTATCAACGGATTTTTTCAAACAAGCAATATAGTAACTGACACACAAATAAATCTCTCCCTTTCTTCACCTCAGAACCCTTCCTCTCTGGACTGGTCCATTCAGAGCGCCCTGTCGTCTCTTTTCCCTCCATTTGAGGCTACCGCTCCTACTGTTCTCAGCCAACTCTTTCGCACCATTGAGGAACGTTACCATGGAGATGCACTGCAGTGCCTGCTGAACTTCCTTATCCCCGCCAAACATATCCTAGAGAGTGTGCAACAAGCTGCCTGTGTGAGTACAACATGCTAATCACAAAAAAAAGTCCATTGGACAGCGCCTCAGTAACAGCCAACCATCTAAAAATGTCAAATAGCCTACCTACACTCTTAGAAGAAAATGTTCTATATAGAACCTTAAAAGGTTCTATCAGCGCTACGTATTTGGAACCCCCAAAAGGTTCTATACACTCTTAAAAAAAGGGTTCCTCTGGGTTCTATATAGAACCCTGGGGTTCCATTCTTGGCCAATAGAACCTTTTACCAAAAAAAATGGTTCTGAAGGGGGGGATGGAACCATTTCTGGTTCTAACCATTTCTTCTAAGAGTGTAGCAAGTGACTTAAGGTAAGGTTCACCCAAAGATTTATGTGTCATTATTTACTCACCCTCATGTCATTTCAAACCTGTATGACTTTTGTCTTCAATGGAACATAGGCTATATTCCAAGTACTCTGAAGCCATACAACGATATTTGAGACCCAAAGCAAAGAGAAAGAGTTTCAATGAATAATGTCTTAAGGTAAATTAGGTAATTTCACAGGATTGCAAAAACACTCATTGTTTGGTCAAATAAGTAGTCACACTCAAACAAACATGTTCCCCATTGCAACTTTAAATTTAGATGTGTCCCAGCACTAACATGAAGGTTCAGAAGAGTTGAAATATGCAGTAGGGTTATGTGACAACTTTTATAGTGGAGCCTGGAAGGTCATGCTCACTGTATGCTTTGAATGTATGTAAAAGGACAGTGTGAATGACATAAGAGTGAGCTAATTATGTATTTTCATGTTTGGGTGAACTAAGCCTTTAAAGGGTAAAGCATGCTAGTAGTGCAATTTCCTCTGCAGACATTTCTTCCCATGTGGACTTTTATGGCACAGATCCCACATGCTACTTATCCTTGTCCACTCAGCACAAGACTGTTTTTTTTTATCTTCAGAAAGAACAAAGGCCTTCCTAGGCAGCTTCTTCTGAAGGGCATTCAAGAATGTTTGCATGCAAGCCAATAAACGGCATCAAGACCCAAGCCATTACAAATCTGTTGATCGTAAAATCTGTCAATCCAAAACTATCTGCAAGTCAACAAACCAGCTTTGCTCTTTCTCCCTCCCCCTCTCTCTCTCTTTCTCTCTAACTAGGCTGCATACTCCGATGTCCTATTCCGGTGTGAGGGTTGGCCATTGTGCTTGAGAGATCGTGTGGTCATCCAACTCGCCCCCATCAACCCTTTACTGCTCCGACCTGGAGATTTCTACTTGCAGGTGGAGTCTTTTGGCGAACAGTCAGCCCGAATTGTCCTCAAAAGTCTTCTTGTGCAGGAAGACCTTCTTGGGCAGGAGAATCTGGTACTGCAAGCAGGTTCCAGGGTGCTGGATGGTCCTGCGATTGAAGGGACACCAATCGCGGAGACATCCTATCCATGCATATTCACCGAGTCTTGGCTAAGGGAAATAAATGAGGGACGTCATGGAAATCCTCTAAGTCAGTGTGTGCTTTCCTCTGACCAGGGTGTTGTGAAGGTACCTTGGACCGAAGTTGCAAACCCGGAATTCCTCGACAGGCCCAAATCTAACATCTGGCCTGAAACAAAGACATGCTCAATTGCGACTCTCCGTGTGACAGATCTTAAAACTGAGATTTCGGAGAACCTGTCACAGTCACCGGTACCTGTGGACTTCTTACCACTTGAGATGGAAACTAGGATCCTTCCAGCAAAAGATGGGATGGTGGTTGCTGTTCAGTTGGTGGAGGGTGGTAGCAGACTGGTGAAGGTTGATCAAGGACATCCAATAAGCAGTTTTGCTGGAAAACCTGTTGGCTGGGTCTCTCCTAATACCTGGGACAACAGGCACAACGGAGAGCTGGAAGGAGAATATGTGGACCTGTTGGAGTTTAACAAGGAGAAAGAGACTTTGGTAGCAATCCCTACAAAACCATCAGGTTTCAAGCTAGTCAGGACAGCCCAACCTGCTTCAAAAAGCAACGGTAGCGTGTCTGGTGAGGATTGCAATCCTTGCATGCAAAACAAACAGCCATTTGAGATAATGCAAAACGATCCAGAATCCAAATGCAGGTATCGTCAATCGTATGTGGCAGCTCTCCGAAACCCAGTGAATTTTGAGAAATCGAGTATGCTGCCTTCTCTAGATGAAACAAGGACAGATGTAGAGGACCCAAGCTGTGAGGGATATGGAGTTGGCCATAGACTTAAACCTTTGAGTTGTACATTTGGCCAGACACCAAACCAAGCAGACAGAAACCCGATGCAATTCTTTGAGAACTCAGCCCAACAAAAGCAAAGCCCAAAGAACTCAACCCAGCCAAGTCAAAGTGTACCTCATGACTGTGTTTCAAGGGAGAACGCAGAGTCTCTTGACCAACATATGACCCAACAGATCCCAAGCATGGTCCCAGCGAGACAACAACACAAGTCATTCCTCACTGGGCAACAGGATCAACATCAGACTCCACTAGGGACTAAGGCTTTTCCCGACAAAAGACTTTACTGTCTGAACAACTCGTATAGGCAAGATTCATTTCAGATACGGATTAGCAGCCAGAAGCACGCCAAAACCCAACACCTTCCCAAAATGGGACTCAGGGCTTTACCTGACCACAGTGGTCACAGACAAGATGCTAATCATTGTCTGCAAGGTTTCAATCCAATTCAGCATTCACAAAACCAGCTAACACAGGCCTTTGAGCAAACACCTGCTCAATTTCAGCCCCAGTGCAGTCAGATCCTTTTCCAAAACGAGAACAGGCATTTGGATTGCAAAGTCCTCTGTGATGACAGGCATTGTGGAAGAGGCCCAGGTTCACCTGTACAGGTGATCAAAGGTAAAAGCAGGTCTAAATCCCGCTCATACTCTTCAGTCTCGGATACAACCAGAGACTGTCTGCAATCACACAAGCCGACCAACAGAAGTCGCAGTGATGTCTATCCAGAGATCATCCCCATGTTGCCTGCTATCCAGGGAATAAAACACACAGCTAATTTGGTGTCCCCAAAATTAAACAGACAACAAGAAGCAAGAAAGGGTGAGTTGAGTTAGAACTTGTGCTTGTGATTAGTTTCAATCATTTAGAGAAATATATATAAAAAATTCTATCCGTGGTTCCTTGCTGTGTGTCAACTAATTGCATACAGATTTTACCCCACATCCCACTTTGTTGTTAAAAGAACATCTGAAGCAACATGATGTCTGGCCAACATGCTGTTTCTTAGATCTTTATCCTTAAATGAAAAGCTTGTTCAAACATGACTGATGTGAAATAAATTACATAAAACAACTACTACTATGAAGCCATGTGTAGCTGCCGTACGCTATGACACATATCGACAGATTTACAGACGACCTTGACCCTGGTCCTCTGCAGAGGGGAAAATATACCATTCCGAAAGGTCATCTTAAAAGAGTGCAATGTGACACTGGCTAAAGGTCAGGAGCGTGTACAGCGTTCCACATGGGAATGTCTGCAGTCCTTCATCAGAACAGAAAGAAAGCATTCATGAGAACCAAGAGCCAGGGCAGGGAACAGAAATAACTACATCCCCCCCGTTTATGGGGAAGCTGTTGGATGTCTTTGTAACTGGAAAGAGGAGGATAATGGCTTCAGTTTATAAATAATTGTTCTTAAGATTTTCTAAAGTGGAGATCAACAGCTCCATCTAGCTGTGATGCACATCTTAGATTTTCACTCATTTCAGTAAGTTCAGAAAAGGTACAACAAGTTGAATTAGGCCTTTGTGTTGTTATATTTATGTTGTAATTTCTCCTCTTTCTTAGAAGCCTACCCCTCTGGACAAGCTGGATCTCCAGTTGTCAATGGAGTAGAGCTTCAGAAATCACACGCGGATCCGTCTGAGAATAGAGTTCAGGAAACACCAATTTCCCAGGACCCCACAATCAAGAGCGTTCTCCAGCTAGGCATCATCTGTCTGCCAGGTATGCCTGCTAATCAATTTTTAATTATGAACAGTTGTGGTGGAGTGGTTAAAGCTCGGGGATATGATTGATCCATGCAGACTAATCAAAGTCTAAAGGCCCGTACACACCGGGACGAATATCAGCGTGCGTTATTCGTCAGCGTTTTTCAACGCGTTTTTTGTGTTCACACCCAAGCATTTTTCGCTGACGATGAGCCGAGTGAACATGCTAATTCATTCCCTGACATTAGATGGCGCCAATTTGCCATGCAATACCACTCCATATCAGTTAACTTTTATCAAGATGTTTGTCGTCCCTGTCGCGTTTGTCATATAGTTCTTTATGTTTTAGCACCAACGAGACCAGCAGCTCTACATTCATCTTGCCTTGCATCTTCCTCGTCTTATTTCTTCCTGGCAGTGTAGATGGCGACGCGTATATCTTCTTCACTGTTGCATATGTGTGCTCGGCAAGACCGTTTTGTGTTTGAGCGCCCCCAAGTTGTGTTTTACTGTCTCTTCAGAAGCTCCAAACACGTGAGCAAAAGCGCCAATTTCCTTGGTCGGATAGTTTTTGACGCGGTGCGTAAAACTTAAAAAAACGAATCCGAGGCGTTTTTTAAAAATGACGCTTTTACGCGTAGCGTAGCCATTGTTTAGTCACGAGGCGTTAAACGTCGGCGAATAACGCGCGCGAAATTCGTTCCAGTGTGAACAGGCCTTAAGATAACTGTGCCCTTAAGCAGGACACTACAGCAAGAACTGGTTATTCAAAAATATAAATGGTCATATTTACTCAGTCTCATCAACAACAAGGTCACCATGGTTTTTGCCAAGTAAGATATGTTCCTGTTGATCCTGGAACAACATTACTATTCGAAAATGTAGTCCTAAACCGATCCCTACCCCTAAACATAATCCCAACCATAACTTATTCCTAAAATGATAATAAAACTGATGCAGAAGCACCTAGCCTTTGTTTTAAACCTGAAGCCTGGTTAAAACCAGACCATTCTCAGTTGAGTTATGGTCTGGCAAAACAAAATTCGGCTTCACCAACGGACGTCGCGGGTAGACTTAAAACCAATCAGAGTGATGAAGGAGATGACGTATGCAGAGCGGCGGAGAAACATCTCAGAGTGTTGTTCTATCCTCTGTTTTTAACAAAAAGGAAACGTTCAAATCGCTTAAAACTGATGTGATAGCTGATTCGAACAAGTGATGTTTTTGTAATGTAGGCTACAAAATCTGCTTCAAAATCCCAGCGCTGTCGTCATGGCGTAAAGCCCGCCCCAACCTTTCTGATTGGTGCCTTGATTTCGACGGATTAGAAATGATCTTGAATGAGCTCTTTGCCTGACTAACTTTCAGAGCAAATCTAAATTTGCCAGAAGTTGTCTGGGTTTTCCCAGGCTAGAAAATTGTAAACTTGTCCCTCAAATCTGATTGATTGATTGGTTGATTGGAATGGTGTTCCAAAATCAATAAAGATGTTGATCCAGGAACATACTTCATGATATAGTCGTTCACCCAACAACAAACATATAAAATAAAAAAAATAGTCCATACGTCTTTTGAAGACATGTGATACAGTAACTTTATTTGAGGATCAGACACAAGAGAACCAAAAGTGTCATTGTTTAATTCAATACTATAATATTCAATAATATTTGAGAGCTCTGGTTAAAAGGAAGATCATCAGTGACTAAAGACTGAATTTAAGTCTGTTCAGAGATCATATGACTATACTGTTATCATGCTTTTTTATTTATCCTGCACTTCCATTGCATTAGAAAAGAGCAGTTTGAAAATTCTGCCAAACTTCTCAATTTGTGCTCAACCGAACAAGACAAAAATACAGGGCAACAGGCAGGCTTTTTCACATGGAAACTATGAGGAAAATCAACTAATGTTTTATTGAGATCACACACACACACACAAAATTATAATGCAAAGACTTTTTAGGGCTTCTGAATGTGAGTAAATGATTCATATACGAGCGTAATCTTTTACCACCTACATTCAGGGATATGAACCTATAATCATTCCTACTTTTGATCAAACTACCGTCTAAATGACCACTTGAAGCTAACTTCCTACATGCACTTTAAACGTAGTACAGTAGGTTGCATATTTCATTCCAGATAAAACTAAATGCATCAAATGTAAATGCTGGTGATGTCAGTTAAAAGGGCAAGTTGTCTTCTCTCGACAATGTTTGAAGGCTGACAGGCGTGTATTGACTATAAAGTTTGCAATGTGAATGATGTTTACAAACAGTTCAGCGGTTAGCAAGCAGCCACTTGCAATCCTGATACACAGAACATAATTGTCTCCATTCAGTGTTTTATCCAGACAATAGTAACTTGCTTTTGCTTTTAAATTCGGTCATGTTCGTTGCCAAAATGACAAAGCGATTTCACGTTCAAGCAGACAAAAGAGTGACGTGACAGTCTGTTAAATTGTGTTGTTTTGAAACCATTCTGTTCACTTACCAACACAAGGCAGTCGTGACAGAGCTGGCCGGGCCGTGGTTGAGGTATATGGCGGCAGGAAAGGATGGGCTTCCTCTCAACTCTCTTCTCTGGAGTTTTGCAGACTTCTGCTTTTCCTGCACTCCATTCCCAGGTACCAGTAAAGACCAGTCTGCTTAATCACCACAAGAGGGCAGTAAGAGATGGTGTCATTTTGGACATGAAATATCAGTAGCCTACCAAATACCCAGCGATGTGAAGCGTCAGTCTATCAGCCTTGTGCACTATTTTGCATCTAATAAATATTCTAATTTAATAATTCAAACATTTTATTGAATTTGATAAATATACACTATATATTTGTCATTCTAGGAGCAAAATTATGGAGCAAACGGAATGGAATTCAAACAGATTTTCATCTGTGTAACTTTCAAGAAGTTTTTTCGGCTTGTATCAGTCCGCTCATCCGGGTAACAGAAACCGGCGCTACTTTCATGTCTATCGTATCATAGTGAACCGCGCTATCATTTGATAAAAACGTAAAGTTTATTTATTTGGTAAGTAGCCTATCGGTGTAATAAGCGGGACATTGTACAGTCATGCGGTCATTATCACGAAATAAACCACATCATTAGAAAAATTATTTCTAACTTATTGTAGGCTAGTCTATTTGTATACGTAGCTATTTTTCCTCAGCTTTAATAATTATGAAAATGGCAGAATCTCATTTTTCAGTGCTGAAAAACCTACATGTTTTTGAACGCATTTATGGTTATAGCTCAATCATATTTTAACAATTTATTTTTACAAACCATTGACATGTTAAATATCTAAATTTCTGCATGCCAATATTAAAATCTGCTTTAATTGTTTTGGCAGTATTAGTATTTAGTACCGATGGTTATTTAATTCTCATGCTCTTTCATTGCTCTGTAGGCCTATGTCTAAATATGACTAATTACTCTATTAAAATGTCTTCTCCAGGACTGAGGTCAGAGACCTGGGACTCACTGTAGTGATTGACAGCCGGAAATGTCCTCTGCCCTCTGTGTTCTTCAGATCACTGCTCATGGTTCAGGTGAGGACACAGAAAACTAATCATCACCTCCAACATCAATACAAACCTTAACACATCCTTCATAGTGTGTGTGTGTGTGATACAGGAGCAGGCCCTTCATGCAGTGCACACTATCTTGATGCTGGTCGATAAAGAGGCTAATCCTCGCCCAGATAAACATCCTGGTCTACAGGTAATTAACACCCCCAAACACACTCGTTCTACCCAGCAATTACACCTTCACGGAAACATCCAACCCTTTAATTAACACCTGGAATGTCTGCTCTCAGTAACTGCAGATATCCACGTCTGATGTCTGCCCGAACTAAGGGTTGTTCGTTCTTTGAAAGACACAAATACTGTTATTCATCAAAGATGCATTAAAATCAAAAGTGATAGTAAAGACATTTATAAAGTTACAATATATATATATTTTTTTTGCAGCATTGGTGAGCAGAAGAGACTTTGAAACATAAAAAAATTATTTTAAATCTTAAATTAAATCTTATTAAAAATAAAAATTAAAAATTGTTTAATATCAGTGCCTGGGTCTCACACATTTGTACAGTACGGTATGTTAAAGTGCACGATCATTTCTTTTAGATAGATGTTGTGACTTCACTAAAAGCTCTTCATAAGACAGTTGACGGACAGCAGTTGACCTCTGACCTTGGCGGGAGCTTCCCTTACAGTCATGAAGACTGGCTGCAGTTTCACCAGGTAGGAGAAGAAGCGGTCGCACAAACACCCAGTGACATTATCCTTCTCATGGACACTGACGCTGTTAAAGGGATAGTTCACTTTGAAATTAATTTTTGATATGTTTTAGCTTATCTCAAGGACATCCAAGATGTAGGTGTCTTTGTTTCCAGAGTTTCAATTTTGATATTTTTAGGTCAAACCGTTCTTGTCTGTCAGTCATATAATGAAACTGCGGAAACAAAGACACCTACATCTTGGATGCTCTTGAGGTAAGATAAAACATATCATAGTGAACTATCCCTTTAATGTGAAGTTTTTAACAGGGATTATATTTTTCTAAATGTTGATGCACAGGCATGTCCTGACCCATAGTTTCCTGTCCTCTCTCTTTCTACTATCATTAAAAATAAATTAGAGTTAAAGTTGTTGTCATAACTCTTGCTCACTCAGTCTACACATTTTTGTTTGGTTTCTGTAGTAAAAACTTTCTATTGTGTAATCAATCCTCTCAAAGCAGAAGTATACAGCTCTTAAAGCACTTTTAAACAGATGCGAGTCAACTTGCACAATCAGCTCTAGTGAAGTTGACCGCACATTTCTGACAACAACAAATGTCTTTTGTCCCTTTAACATCTGAGAGACCCCGAAGACACTTTAACTTAAAAATGCAACAGCGCAACCTTTCCTGCACTTACAAGGAGTGATTATAAACTACATTTCAACTTGATGGCTCGCAGTCGAGTCTGTCTGATCCGTTCTGTTGAATCACATAGTATGATATAGTATTATCTAACATGTGTTTTTGCATATATGTCTTTTTTAGAAACTTTCCCTCTTTCAACTCGACCTTCAAGCAGCTTCTTCATTACTACAGACTGCAATCAGGAGACTGGATGTTAAAAAAACGGACACTGCAAAGGTCATTTCCATTTCTGAAACTTTCCGTGATTGCAGCACACTTTTGTATCCCATTAAATTAAAAGGATAGGGATGCACCAAAATAAACATTCTCAGCGGTAATTATTTACATGTAATGGCAGACAACTGATAAATGATAAATTCTGTTCCATTTTATATAAATTAAATAAAAATAAAACACTACTTCACACAATCATTGTAGTTACTATCAATCAAAACTTAATGTACAGTATTAAAAAATTTAATTACTTCTGAAATTTGGTAAAGATTACATTTAACATTATTACATTTTTTTTTTTAGATGAACTTTAAGTAAGCATTAGGTGATGGAAAAGGTGATCTAAATCGAAAAATATGGGAAATTAAGTTATATTGTACAGTTATATTGTACTGTATATCCCTAATTAAAGGTATATTGGCATGTTTTTGTGATGAGATCTATTAGATATGTTTGATAAACTATTAGGAAACAAAATGAACATAAATGTTGCCAGTATATAATTTTCTTTCAATTTGGAGACCTCATGGTTTCCCCCATTATAATAAAAAAAAGTTTATATATATATATATATATATATTTTTTTTTTTTTTAATTAAATGTTGGTGTCTACTTAATGTATATAATAATATTAAAATTTATATAAAATATATAAAATGTATTAATGTACTTTTTTAATGTAGGCTGTGCATTACATTTGCTTTTAATTTGGAGACCACATGATTGTAATTTATAATTTTATAATTTAAAAAATAATAGTTATAATAATAATTATATATATATATATATATATGAAATGTTGATGTTTATTAATGTATATTTTAATATAAAAATGTATATAACATTTATATAAAATATATGAATATTACAATTTTAATTGCAAAAATTGCAAACCTTTTTAAAATAAATTTAAAATATTTGAAAAATATATAAAATAAAACGGTTTACGTGACGAGCACACATGGTACTTTACTTCGCATGATTTCCGCTCATTACAAATTAAAAAATTTCATTTATGTAATTTGACCTTGAGGAATGCTGCTCCAAAACTAACCAATCCAATCGTTCAGGATGTCCAGTCCTGCATCCAGGAGCAAAGGCGCTCCATGAAGATGGTGCTCGAGGACACCCGATTGGTCGGTCTGCAACGAGAGGGCGGGTCTATTCTCGCCAGGATGAGGAAGGAGGAGTCTCGATTCGCTCAGTCTGAAGACTTCAGGTATTTCGCTCAATAGGGTTCATAAACTGTTTGCTTACCCATATCCATCTTCTTTTTTGTGTTTTTTACCAGCCTGTAATTCTCAATATTGACCATAAATGAATTAAAATGTGTTATATTTACAGTATCTGCATGTGTTTGCAGGCGTACACACTTATATGTGTCTTTTCTCTCGTGCAGGGACTCTCTGGAGTCTGTGACGTGTCTATATAACCAGGTGGAAGAGGCCGTCCACGCGCTAGTGATGAAATCCAACCAGTCGCTGCGACATCTCGAACACGTTCTCCTGCTGAGAGAAACAGAAGACTCGCTCGCCACAGTACGCATCACATCCCATCACTGAATGCAGGTTTATGACGGATAATAAGCACCGCCCACAGAAAGCACTGAAAATAACTCAAGACAAACATTGTGAAGTGCAACATGTCTGCTGTATGAATAAATCAGTCTGAAGCATAACATCACTGCGCTAAATAAAGGGAGCGTTTGTGGCACCACAGAAAATAACTTTGACTCTTTGCTTAGTAGAAAGTAATGGGCAAGGCAAGGCTAAGTTCAATTAAATTATATTATATTCAACCATGCAAATCCGGGAAAGATGGCATAAAATGCATAAGGATAGCAGAAAGGAATGTAATCCATTAAGTATTGTTTAACTCTACTCATAGGAATAATGTCTCGTAGATGTCCATCAGCAAAGAAAAGTATGTTTATGATTATGAATCATTTGTTTTAGTCCTTTAACAAAAAGCTTCACATTTGTGCTTTTAAACTGTCCCATTCACTTGATAATTTACTCACCCCCATGTCATCCAAGATGTCCATGTCTTTCTTTCTTCAGTCGAAAAGAAATTAAGGTTTTTGATGAAAACATTCAGGATTTTTCTCCATATAATGGACTTCAATGGGGTCCAAACGATTCAAAGTCCAAACGACAGTTTCAGTGCAAACTGCAAACTGTTCAAAGGGCTTTAAACGATTCCAGACGATGAATAAGGGTCTTATCAAGCGAAACGATCGCTCATTTAAAAAACAAAAAACAAAGTTTAAGTTTTATAAGCTCAAATGCTCGCCTTGCTCTGTTCTGTGATGCGCGTTCGTGACTCTCCTGTTCGAACTCGTTCATCAAAATGAACAAATCTTTTTCTGAGTCAATTCGTTCGTTTTGTTCGTTGAATGAACCAAACGACTTTGTTCATTTTGATTTATATTTATAATTGTTTATAAATGTTTTTCACAGATCCAAACATGGTGTGATGAAGAGGAAGAGTCATGGCAGAAGGACAACGACGGCACAGAGAAAAGCCTGCAGGAAATAGAGCGGAGACTCCAAGACATTCAGTCTGTTCTTATACAAGCAAAGGTAACAAGACATTCACTCAAATATATGACCAAAAGGAGATGGATGGCCAGAAGATTAATCTTAAAATGCCTGAATGTTATCAAAGTTGTGCTATGGATTTATGTGGACTGTCGAGTGCAAATTAATCAAAATAATACAAATACCAGAGTTTTTCTGATAACGAATATGGTTCAGGAATGTGCATCTCTTAAATAATGATAAGAGCTAACGGTTCATGCACTCTCTGAAAAAAAGAACGAAAGCTGTCACAGGGGCTGTACCTTTTCAAAAGGTAAACTTTTGTCCATTTAAGGTGTTAATATGTACATTTCAGGTGCTAATTTATGTACATTTTTAAGTGTTACTATGCACATTTTATGTGTTAATATGTCCATTTTAGGTGCTAATATATACATTTTAGGTGCTAATATACATTTTATGTGTTAATATGTACATTTTAGGTCCTAATATATATATTGTTGGTGTTAATATGTACATTTTAGGTGCTATTATGTACATTTCAGGTGCTATTATGTACATTTCAGGTGCTAATATGTACATTTGAGGTGTTAATATGTACATTTGAGGTGCTAAGATGTACATTTCAGGTGCTAATAGGTACATTTTAGGTGCTAATATGTCCATTTTAGGTGCTATTATGTACATTTGAGGTGCTAATATGTACATTTCAGGTGCTAATTTGTACATTTGAGGTGTTAATATATACATTCTAGGTGCTAATATGTACATTTTAAGTGCTAATATGTACAATTAAGGTACAAAAGTGTACCTTTTGAAAAGGTACAGCCCCAGTGACTGCTTTTGTATCTTTTTTTCTGAGAGTGTGAGGTTTCAGATGTTTTTGATATTCTGCATTATGTGTACAGGGAAAATAACATATGTTTGTGTTTTTTTCTAGGAAAAAAAAGTAAAAGCGATGTTGTTGATAAAGGAAGTGGAGAGAAAAAGCAAAGGATTGCATTATCCTGAAAGTGACGTTTTTCGTTGTAACACAGTCACTTTCAAAACCCAGATGACGGGGTTTCTCCTGAAGGCTGAGGAGCGTAAATCTGAGCTGGAGGCGTCTCTGGATCTGTACCGTTTCTGTGAAGAGGTTAGTCAACATCATTATTAACATGGACATTTTACTTATGCAATGTCATATAACAATATAAAATAAATAAAGATAGTAATTAGCGATTAGATCATAGAAAGCCATCAGTGGATTTTTAAACTGTGTTTTCCAGAAACGAATCAAATCTGAAAGAGAATGCAATTTTTAATAAACAAAAATTGTGCAGAGCAGTAAATATTTAATTTGCATGATATTGCTCTTGGGAAAAACAAAACTTGCTTGCAGACCATAGATAACTAGATATGTCTGAAGCAAAATTATTTTAAATAATTATCACAAACAACTGCCTTGGCATTTCATCGGTGAAAGATTGTGAGAGCACCAATAATAACTGAGCAGCAAATCATCATATTAAAATGATTTCTGAAGGATCATGTGACACTGCAGTAATGATGCTAAAAATAGAGCTTTGATAATATTTTTTAATATTTCACTGTTTTTACTGATTTTTTGATACATGCAGCCTTAGTGAGCAGAAGAGTTACTTATTTTAATTATTTACATATTTTATGTATTTAATTTATTTACATATTTTGTACATATTTACAAAAATATGTATTATTTCAAACTTTTTGACCAATGGTCTATGTATAAACTTAACTAATATAAATAACATACCCATATTGTGATACATATATATATATTAGTTTGAAGTACACTAAAACTACACATTCAACACAATTAAGCACATTTCGCAGTGTATATTCACAGTATACACTGCAAATATTTTTACTAAATACCTTTAGGTTATTAGTAAAAATATTAACATTAACATTACTAGTTAATGTTAAAATATTTAATAGAACAAAAATGTTTCTCTATCGAAACTTTTAACCAAGTTTTACTGGATTATTGCAGATACTGCATATATCAGATACTGATATCAGATATTCATGCAGATACTGGTTTTACTGGATTATTATACTGTATAAGTGTATTGAAGTTTAAAAGAAAAATGCATTTCAAGTGCATTAATGCACACATATAATATACACAATATCACACTTCAGTTTCACATTTACATGTGCTTTAGTTTATTAATATATATATATATATATATATATATATATATATACAGTCTTCTATTGCATAACAGCATATAGAAACAGCCTTGAAATGATTTTTATCTTCTTTGTTTCCCAGGCCTCATCTCTTGTTAAAGAGTGTATGGAGTATTTAGATCATATAAAGAACACAAACCCTCCCATGTGTGCCTGCTTGAGTACGCTGAAGGCTTTTGAGGAGCGTTTGAAGGACTTCTCCCCCCAACACTTTCAGGACAGGAGTGCTGCGCTGCCGGACGGGTCATGGATGTGGAATGCAGTCCGGGCTCAATGCCGAGACATCACACAGAGACTCGCGGAGATACTGCAGGCCTCTTATAGAAGTCAAATCCCTCCGGGAACGCCAGGAAAGGAAAGCGAGGCCCACTTGAAAGGTCCGACCCAGAGCGTAATTAGCACTAGCCTTAGAGAAAATGAAGGCGACCCCCAAACAAACCCTGTTGGCGGTCATGTGGAGACCAGAAATAGAGATGATAATGAGACAGTGACGCATTTCGAGCCTGTTAGGAGAAACACGTCATCAAATTGTGATCCGATAATGACTGAAAACACACACAGAGAATCTGCACTGATGAATCAGCATTTCTGCAAAAGTGAAGGCGAAGTTTCCTCGTTACACAATGGTCCGGTCAAAAAATTAAGTAGGCGTCCTCGGGTATACTCTCACAGCGACTGTGATCTCAGAAAGTCAGGCCATGTCAATAAGAATGACCGCTTGCCACATCATAAAGGCCTAGTCCGCTCGCATAGCGAAGGCTTTTGCTCACGATCCACTAGGTATGATTCTATGAGCAAAGGCAATGCTGCGAATAATAAGAGGACATCTGCAGATTCCTGTCGAGAGAGGATCATTGGCTCAGACAGAGCATCATGGGATGAACGGAGCTCGCACCACGACAGCATCTGTTCAAGCCAAAGCGACATACATGAGAAGTTCAGCCGTGACACCAAATCTGCAGCGACACACTCAGATCATCCAGAGTCTGTGCCGACACTGGAAAACAGCAGCACTGCACTGTGAGTCCCACACACAACACTGTTATAACGACAATCTGATCATACACAGCAGGACATGATGAGAAGGAATGTGTTAATAACATAAATAATCGGAATAATCAATAATAATCGGAAAAGAGATTTTCCAAAAAAATTGTTTAAATTATAAATTCAAAGTAAAATAATCATTATCACGTGAATATATTATCCAAAAATATAGTTTTAGCATTATAAGAAAATGATATTTAATAAAATAGTTTTAATATTATATTATCCAAAAATATAGTTTTCATTATAAATTAAAAATAAACTTTTTATAGTTAAAATATTATTAAAATATAATTGCTTTGATATTATAGTAAAATAATATTTAATAAAAAAGATGTATTAGGATACATAAATATGGATTACATTATAAATTCAAAATAATTAAATGACTTTACGGATTATATTAAATAATCATTACCACATAGTTTTAATATTATAGTAACAATATGTAATAAAATAGTTTTAATATTATATTATCCAAAAATATAGTTTCCATTATAAAAATAAATATAATGGAAATAATGGATTCTTTTATTAAAAATAAAAGAATCAGTACCACATGATTATTTTATATAGTTAAAATATTATTAAAATATAATTGCTTTGATATTATAGTAAAATAATATTTAATAAAAAAGTTTTATTAAGTACCACATGAATAAATAGTTTTAATATTATAATAACAATATGTAATAAAGTTTGTTTAACAATATATAGTTATAATATTATATTATCGAAAAAATATAGTTTTACCATTATAAGAAAATAATATTTAATAAAATAGTTTTAATATTATATTATCCAAAAATATAGTTTTACCATTATAAGAAAATAATATTTAATAAAATAGTTTTAATATTATATTATCCAAAAATATAGTTTCCATTATAAGTTATAGTTATCCATTATTGAGATCTGTTTGTCTCTTATGTATTTGTAAGAGATCATGTAAGACAGCAGCAGTACTCACTTAAAATTATTGGGTTAAAAAAAAAACAACAAAAAAAACTATGGGGTGGTATAGCACCCAACGATTTAAAAAAAACGACCCAATATTTTTTGAAAATAACCCAACATATTGACCCAATATTTGTAATCCAACAGTTTGGTTAAAAAAATAACCCAACTATGGAGTGGTATAGCACCTTCCCAACTGTGGGTTATTTTAACCCAATGCATTGGGTTAAACTCTAGTTGGGTTGAATAACCCAACAGTTGAGTTAAATATTTAAATAGACTATTTAACCCAACAGTTGGGTTATTTCTAGAAATTACCCAAGGATTTAAAAAAACGACCCAATATTTTTTGAAAACCCAACATATTGACCCAATATTTGTTAACCAACAGTTTGGTTACACAAATAACCTAACTAGGGGTGGTATAGCACCTTCCCCAACTGTGGGTTATTTTAACCCAATGCATTGGGTTAAACTATAGTTGGGTTAAATAACCCAACAGTTGAGTTAAATATCTAAATAGGCTATTTAACCCAACAGTTGGGTTATTTCTAGAAATTACCCAACGATTTTAAAAAAACGACCCAATATTTTTTTGAAAATAACCCAACATATTGACTCAATATTTGTAACCCAACAGTTTGGTTACACAAATAACCCAACTATGGAGTGGTATAGCACCTTCCCAACTGTGGGTTATTTTAACCCAATGCATTGGGTTAAACTATAGTTGGGTTAAATAACCCAACAGTTGAGTTAAATATCTAAATAGGCTATTTAACCCAACAGTCGGGCTATTTCTAGAAATTACCGACCCAATAAACCCAAAAAAACCGACCCAATATTTTTTTAAATAACCCAAAATATTGACGCAATACGTGTAACCCAACAGTTTGGTTAAACAAATAACCCAACGTTTTTTACTGTGTATGTGTTGGTGTCCTGACAGTAAACTGCAGCACATCATGGAGGAGCTGCTCCAGACGGAGAGAGAGTACGTGCGAGCGCTGGGGTACGTGGTGGACCACTACATCCCAGAGCTGGAGCGTCCCGACGTGCCTCAGGACCTGCGGGGACAGAGAGCGAGCATCTTTGGAAACCTGGAGAAGCTGCGAGACTTCCACCAGCATCACTTTCTTCAGGAACTGGAGCTGTGTGTGAAGGAGCCCTTCTGTGTCGGACGCTGCTTCGTAAAACACGTGAGCTTTACGGCCTGATGCACGAGTTTTCCTTTGAAGAGTTTTAATGTGCTGCTGCTTCAGAGAACCTAGGAACCAATACTGAAAGACCCATTCAACTCACAAAACATGTCCATGTCACATTTCACCCCCAAATTGTATAAAATAAAGCAATTATATTTTGCATAAAGGAATTTAAGCCTAAATATTTAGGATATCAAAATATTTGTATGATCATTGCATTTTTTCATGACAGTTCTCCCCCAAATTCGTATTATTGTAGTGCAAAAACAAAAAAATAATGCAGTATTTAAATTGCATCATTATAGAATTTGTCATACAGCCTTTAATTTATTCTGCTTTAGATAAAAACAATTCTTCTTTAAATAACAACAGCATTGGGGATAATAAATGTTACAAAAAAAATTAAAAGTTAAATGTTTGGATGTATTACAGTAATAAGAATTTGTGGGGAAAATGTGTTCATTTGTCAAAATTCACCCTATTTTTTTTTTTTAAATAAATATAGATATAATGTTTTGTTTAGAGTGTTACACTCAAGCACTGAGCTAACAGAAATATGTTTAGCAAATTGCCATTAAGTTATGAAAATGTTATTTCTGAATGTTCTCTGAACGTTCTAAAAATGTTTTTTCTCGGTTACATGAATGTTAACGGAACATTCCATTTGACAATTTTGCGAACATTGTGGGAATGTTACTTTTGAACGTTCTGGAACGAGAAGTAACATTTAAAAAATGTTTTAAAAAAGCATCCCATAATGTTTCTCTGCTTTTGAGAACATTATTAAAGACCAGATAACTTTGAACAAACGTTCTATTAATGTCACGAAGAACGTTCCCCGTTAGCTGGGAATCACCTTTATGACAGGTTAATGTCTTAACTCAAAGAATCGGAAAGCACATACAAAAAATCCACTGTGTGAAACTGATGATTCTGACACTTCGTCTCTCACATTCAGAAGGAAAACTTCGGCCTGTACGCGTTATACAGCAAGAACAAGCCGCGCTCGGAGAGGATGCTCATCGAACACGGGAAGGGCTTCTTCAAGGTGAGTCTCTTCCTTACAGTTTGCTTTCATAAGTGACACAAATTTGACATCTTAAGGCAAACATGTTAGTATTCATCAGAATTTGAATGCATGTTTTACATTTAGACCATTTCAACATGAAGTGACGCTGATAGCAATGTGTTTTTATGCACATTTTGAGATATTGCATATTTGTGCAGAAATTTTACAAATACAATAAATCCAATATTCTATCACTCAAAAACTAAAGATTTGTAAGCATTTGTATGTCTCTGAAGTACTACTGTGTACATGAAGGACTTGTAGAAGCTCCTCTCTGTTGCAAAATACTAGAAAGTTTCCAGTAAGATGATGATTACCACATAAACTCTTTCATAATCTTACTGTAAACTCCCATATATTTGACACATCTGATCAAATCTAAAGTAATGCCCACATACAGTATGCGCTGGAACAGGCCTCGTTGGGAAATGTTGCTGCCATTCTGCTAAAAGCTTTAATTCGCCAGAAATGTGATTGTACTTGAATGAGAAGTACTAAAGTATTAAATATGAGAAGTATTAAATAAGATTAGGGCAGAATACACCATCTGCGTAATAAATGTGCACTTTTCCAGACAGGGCACGTCTATAACCCAAACTCAACACGGCAAATTACCATGATAAAAATAAAAATAACAAATATTTGCAAATATTATATGATTAATTTAAGTGAAATTACTGAACTTAAATATACAAGTTTGATAAAAATCATCATTAAAGAAGAAAATTTCAAATGGCATTTAGAGGCTTTTGCATCTGAACTCTTCATATGTTTAATTACACTTTTAAGAAATATGCTATAGAATAGCTTACTTTAAATTTATAAAAAGTATATTAGTAATATATTGGTAATACATCTATGCTTTATTATATTTTTAATAAATATGCCAATGACAATCATGCTTTAAATGTGTTTCTAAAACGTGTACTAGAACTACATTGGTAATTCATATGTTTATATGCTAAATTCAAAAATGTGTTTACCAGAAATGCAATTGTATTAAATATATACTTAATTACACTCAAGAAACATGCTAAAAACGAACATAGTTTTGGTGTATTTACAGAAAACATACTTGTGTTACTAAATTAAAGTATTTTTTGTGTTTACTTTGTGTGTATAGCAATTTATAACCTTATAACTTATTTAACCTTGTATAGGACTACTGCAATATATTTGTAATATTTATGTTATAGCATGTGCAAAATATTGTGAAAAACAAATAAGACATCTATATATATATATATATATATCACAATATGGGTATGTTATTTATATTAGTTAATTTTATACATACAACATTGGTCAAAAAGTTTGAAATAATACATATTTTTGTAAATATGTACAAAATATGTAAATATATTTTGTAAAAATACAAATGTTTTTTAAAATAACTCTCTTCTTCTCACTAAGGCTGCATGTATTTGATCAAAAAAATCAGTAAATACAGTAAAAAAAGTGAAATATTATAAAATTTTTTTATCAAAGCTCTATTTTTAGCATCATTACTGCAGTGTCACATGATCCTTCAGAAATAATTTTAATATGATAATTTGCTGCTCAGTTATTATTGGTGCTCTCACAATCTTTCACCGATGAAATGCCAAGGCAGTTGTTTGTGATAATTATTTAAAACAATTTTGCTTCAGACATATGCACTATCAAACAATTTAAGAGCTGGTTTTGACTGATTCACTGAACATATATATATATATATATATATATAAATAATTCTACCCAATCATATAATACACACGCACACCACTACTAAACCTACCCATGCGTATCCCATGCACGTAAAAACTCACCTTAGCGTATAAATTACACGACAATACGCATGCATGCTATAAAGACGCATTTAGTGTGATTGGGTTGTATGTACATAAAATGTCCTCTTTTGGACCATTATTCATGAGTTTAATAATCAGTCAGTGCCTGAGTAATGCTGTTATTAATAAGAGTGATATGATCTGATTCAACAGCAGAAACAGCAGCTGCTGTGTGACGCGCTGGATCTGTCCTCGTACCTGCTGAAGCCCGTGCAGCGCATCAGTAAGTACAGTCTTCTGCTTCAGGAGCTTCTGCGCGAGGCCGAGTCCGGTGCGCATGCGGCCCGACACCGGCTGGAGATCCAGACCGCGCTGCACATCGTCCAGTTCCAGCTGCGCCACGGGAACAACCTGCTCGCCATGGACGACATTCAGGACTGCGATGTGAGTCAGACAGAACTGTTCTTCTTAATCAAAGCGGATCAAATCGAAATAAAGCTGAAATAAAGTAAAGTTTGGAGTCAGTAAAGTCTCTTCTGCTCACCAAGGCTGCATTTATTTGATCAGAAATACAGGAAAAACTATTGTGGAGTATCATTACAATTTAAAATAGCGGTTTTCTATGTTAATATATTGTAAAATGTCATTTATTCCTGTGATCAGTCTCTAGGATACGTTGAAAATTCAAAAGAACAGCATTAATTTTTTGAAATATTTTGTCTTTACACTTTTCCAAACGGTGGTTTTCACAGTAGATTAAACATTTTTGGTCCTGGAAGGAATCTTTCATTGAAAAGTTCTTAAAGGGATAGTTCACTTTGAAATTCATTTTTGGTATGTTTTAGCTTACCTCAAGGGCATCCAAGATGTAGGTGTCTTTGTTTCCGCAGTAGTTTCAATTTTGATGTTTTTAGGTCAAACCGTTGTCTGTCAGTCATATAATGGAGGTCTATGGTCACCACCTTAAAGAGCATGCACAGAGAAGTCCAGATTAAACATGATTTAATGACTCGGAAATGTAAGTACACATTGATGGCCTAAGACACGAAACGAGTGGTTTGTGTAAGTTGAAATACAAAAAATATTAAACCTAAAATTAATTTAGCTTTATACAATTTCAGCTAAATATAAATTAGGGCTGTGCAAAAATTAATTGCGATTAATCGCATCCAAAATAAAAGTCTGTGTTTCCATAATATATTTGTGTGTGCTGTATATAATTATTTTGTATATATAAATACACACACATGCATGTATATATTTAAGAAAATGTGTTATAAATATTTTATATATGAATATTTATATAATATAGATTATGTATTTTTATACAGAATTTAAGCGCAAATAATTCTTAAATATATACATGCATGCATAGGTATTTATTTATACAAAATAATTATATACAGCACACACAAATATATTATGTAAACACAGACTTTTATTTTGGATGCAATTAATCGCAATAAATTTTTTTGCACAGCCCTAATAGAAATATTAACAAACCAAAATAATTCAAACACATAACTGTATTACTTAATGAAAGCTGTTTAAAATAAAAAAAAAACAAGCTCAATTAAAATATTAATAAATACTATAAAGCTATATAAATAATACTAAAATAACACGAGTGAGTGAAAGAGATGAGATTACAACATCTCAGAAAACCCCCAAATCCATTTTAGTTTACAGAGCTAGAATCAGAGAGCATGTTATGACGAGCGTCACTATTGCTGTTGCAGACACTGAGGATTAGTGACCTAAACTAAAGACTTTTCTACAATTTCTACCAGTTTGATGTTAAATCCCACAGACTCCCGTTGAAGACTCGACTCGAGACTCGAGCGTCAGTTCGGTTGCACTTTATTTCGATAGTCCACTTTAGATATTTTATTAACTATAAGTAACTTTGCAACTACATGTCTAGTGTTAGACTATTAGTAGACTATCTGATAACACTTTCATTTGATGCCCCTCAATAGACATTACTCTATAGTGTGTACTTATTCTACCAATCTCAACCTAACAGTATACTGTACAGTTAGTGGACATGTAGTTACAAATGTACTTATAGTTAGTAGAATATTAAAAGTGGACTAATAAAATAAAGTTGATACTTTTGCCCAGTAATAAACCACTAAAACATCTCAGAAATATCCTAGCATTTTGCACAGGCAAACGTTGTTTTGCATAAGCCAAATATGTGTGTAAACTAAATGTTGACTAAAATAAAGAGTATATTTTTGTTGAAGAGGAAGGACAGGCGTGGAAGGAGAGTTTGCCCACATCACACACCGTCTGTAATTAGAACGATAAACACCTTCATATTTCATGCACTTATTTTCAGACACAAGCTTTAAAAAGAAAAGCAGTTCAGTGGGCAGAGAGGATAAAAGACAACCGTAGGCCTAGACTCCCTCCTCCTGCACATCAGCGTTAATGTGAAGTTACTGTGTGCTTGTGTCATTCCTCATCACAGACACTTGCCAAAAATATGCTCTTATTCATGAAGGGGATTTATGGCTACGGATCGCATGCAGGTGAAAGACATCGCTCTTCATCTCATCTATGACACATTCACTGAAGCTTTATAGTTCTGTCGCTCAAAATGATTTGTGTTTTAAAGGAGTAGTTCACTTTTAAAAAAAACTTTTGCTGATAATTTACTCACCCCCATGTCATCCAAGATGTCCATGTCTTTCTTTCGTCAGTCGAAAAGAAATTACGGTTTATAATTAAAACATTCCAGGATTTTCTCCATATAATGGACTTCAATGGGGTCCAAACGGTTCAAGGTCCAAAAGACAGTTTCCGTGCAAACTGTTCAAAGGGCTTTAAACGATTCCAGACGATGAATAAGGGTCTTATCAAGCGAAACGAGCGCTCATTTAATAAGTAAATAACAACGTTTAAGTTTTATAAGCACAAATGCTCGCCTTGCTCTGTTCTGTGATGCGCGTTCGTGACTCTCTTGTTCGAACATGTTCATTCAGTAACGATAGACAGTTTTGATTTATATGATGTTTAATGTTAATGATCATGTTATTTGATGTGTCAGCAGTGCTTATATCGCTTGTTTCTGCTTCTCTTCTGTTTTGATCCGGATATTCTGTACGCTTACAAAAGATGCGTAATAGCGCCACCTACCGTATTACTGAGAAAATATGAATTTCCGGAAAATTCTGTCAAAGTTAAAAACAGCTGTTTTCTATGTCAATATACTTTAAAATGTAATTTATTCCTGTGATGAAAGCTGAATTCCCAGCATCATTACTCCAGTCTTCAGAGTCACATGATCCTTCAGAAATCACTCTATTTGATGCTCAATTTTGATCAAATAATTTTTAAGAATGTATTTTATCTATACCAATGTTGAAAACAGTTTTTGCTGCTTAATATATTTGTGAAAACAGATTAATAGAGAGTTCTACTGAACAGCTTTGCGTCACAGGAATACATTTATTTTACCGAGCAGAAGAGACTTTTAAAAACTTTTTTTTTAAATCTTAATTATTTCATACTTTTGACCGGTATTGTTCATACACTCTCAGAAAAAAAGGTACAAAAGCTGTCACTGGGGCTGTACCTTTTTAAAAGGTACACTTTTGTCCCTAAACGGTGCATATTGGTACCTTAATGGTACATATTAGCACCTAAAATGTACATATTAACACTTAAAATGTACATATTAGCACCTAAAATGTACATACTAACACTTAAAATGTACATATTAGCACCTAAAATGTACATATTAACACCTAAAATGTACATACTAACACTTAAAATGTACATATTAGCACCTAAAATGTACATATTAACACCTAAAATGTGCATATTAGCAACTAAAATGTACATATTAACACTTAAAATGTACATATTAGCACCTAAAATGTACATATTAACACTTAAAATGTACATATTACATATTAGCACCTAAAATGTACATATTAGCACCTAAAATGTACATATTAACACTTAAAATGTACATATTAGCACCTAAAATGTACATATTAACACTTAAAATGTACATCGCACCTAAAATGTACATATTAGCACCTAAAATGTACATATTAACACTTAAAATGTACATCGCACCTAAAATGTACATATTCGCACTTAAAATGTACATATTAACACCTAAAATGTACATATTAACACCTAAAATGTACACATTAGCACATAAAATGTAGATATTAACACTTAAAATGTACATCGCACCTAAAATGTACATATTAGCACTTAAAATGTACATATTAACACCTAAAATGTACATATTAACACCTAAAATGTACACATTAACACCTAAAATGTATATATTAGCACCTAAAATGTATATATTAGCACCTAAAATGTACATATTAACACCTAAAATGTACATATTAACACCTAAAATGTACACATTAGCACCCAAAATGTACATATTGTACATATTAGCACCTACAATGTACATAGGACCTAAAAAGGACAAAAGTTTACCTTTTGAAAAGGTACAGCCCCAGTGACAGCTTTCGTACCTTTTTTCTGAGAGTGTAGTGAAGTCTCTCGATACAAACCTGATCATGTTTTTTAATATCACAGACATACCTTGGATGTAATGCAAGTCGATTTATATGAAAGCGTCTGCCAAATGCACAAATGTAGGCCCGATTTGCTGTGAAAGCGTCATTGATCACGCGTGTGAAATCGATGTTCATGTTGTGCAGGTGAATCTGAAGGAACAGGGCCAGCTGATCCGTCAGGATGAGTTCCTGTTGACCTTCAGGAAGAAGAAATGCTACCGTCACATTTTTCTCTTCCAAGACCTCATCCTCTTCAGCAAGACACGCAGAACTGACATCGGGAATGACACGTACATCTACAAACAATCCTTCAAGGTAAAGCACCTCACGAACCGTCCGTGACCAGGTCAAGCTCTTCGTGTGTCGGACCTTGACGTGTCCTCTGTGCTCTCTCAGACCTCAGACATCGGTATGACACGTAACTCTGGGGACAGCGGCCTGTGTTTTGAGATCTGGTTTCGGAGAAGGAAGTCACAGGACACGTACGTACTTCAGGCACAGAGTCGAGAAGTGAAGGAAAACTGGACCAGAGACCTGGAGAGGATTCTGTGGGAACAAGCCGTTCACAACAGAGGTGATTTCAGACTGCATATATTCAATTATAATGACACATATTTACAAAATATAAAAGTATAGTATTGATGCAGTAAGCATGAATGGTGGAGATGAGGCCCCAGTTTTTGGAAATAGGCTCATTTTACAACTCCCCCAGAGTTAAACAGTTGAGTTTTACCGTTTTCTAATGTATTCAGATGATTTTCTGATATTTAGAAGAATATCAGTAACCAGACAGTTTCTGGTCTCGTTGACTTCCATACTATATTTTTTTCCTACTATGGAAGTCAATGAGACCAGAAACTGTCTGATATTCTTCTAAATATCAGAAAATCGGCTGAATGGATTAGAAAACGGTGAAACTCAACTGTTTAACTCTGGGGGAGTTGTAAAATGAGCCTATTTCCAAAAAAAAAAAGTGGAGTATCCCTTTAAGAAGGTAATCCGAGATTGCTCTGTTTTAGTTGAATTCAGGTTGCGCTACATTGCTAAATTTTAAAGACAGTTTGATAAATTAGGAATTCAATCTTTAACCTGTGATTAGATTGTGATGGATCTCTTTCATTTCCCCCCTAATCCATTGAAAAATTACTTTTTTTTTAAAAATCTAAACTTCATTTAAAGTGAGTTTTAAATCTGTGAAAGGATTAGAGTTAATCTACGTCTACTGTAAAACTTTGATTTAATGTGCGTTTAAGATTTTATGTCATTGGTGCAACGTGCAATTACTGACATTCCTGTTACCTCATACTGTAAAAAATAATCCTGTAAAAAAAACGGTAAACTACTGGCAGCTGTGGTTGCCAGCATCATGCCGTAAAAATATGGTGTGTTACCGTTTTTAAAATCAACAGCTAAATACCGTTTTGTCAGCTACAGTATTATACTGTTAAAATACAGTATATAACTGTAAATTAACAGCATTTAGCTGTAGTTGACAAACGGTATTTAGCTGTTAATTTTAAAAACGGTAACACACCATATTTTTACGGCATGATGCTGGCAACGACAGCTGCCAGTAGTTTACCGTTTTTTTTACAGGATTATTTTTTACAGTGAATATGAACCTGAGAGTCAGTAATGTGAATGTGTTTGGGTTTATCAAGCATGATGAACTGCTGAGAAGTGATCTTGAGGAATGTAAGAAAGATAAATGACAGAAGCTGAACTCCTACAGTACATACAGCTGTATTCATTCAGGACTCTTACCTCAGTCCTCATCGAAGCATTTCCCGATAATACCCATGTATGTTTTTTCCTTAGAATGGTTTGCCCTGTAGATGTGCGGGAATAAAGACAGAAGACAATCTATTATGCAACACCGTATGACTCAAACATTTCCAGCATATCAAGTCGAAATCAAGTAAATATTCTGAATGTTCTGATCCAATCTGACTTCTGACCTGTAATGCTGCCTGAATCATATTCATACACTGTTCGTTCGTTCGTTGACAAGGAAAACTGAGCTTTTTTTTTCTCCAGAGCGGCTGTATATATAAATAAACTAAATTAATAACTTTTTTACAACAAAATTAACCATCAGTGAACTGGATTGTGTCGCTAATTTCTTCTGAACACAATCTTTGTTGCATTATTTCCGTGTTATCACAGTAAAGCTGCTTTGAAACACTTTGTGTTGCTGTATAAATAAAGCTGACTTGACTATCACAGAATTCATCAAATAATTAGATAATGCTGTAGATTTCCCTTTAAATGTAATTAAGTGCTCACCAAGGCTGTGTTTATTTGATCAAAAATACAGTAATGTTGTGAAATACTATTTCAAATTATAAAAGCTGTTTTCTAATTTGAATATATTGTAAACCGCAATTTATTCACCAAGGCTGAATTTTCACGTGATCCTACATGCAGAAATCACTCTAATATGACGATTTGCTGCTTAAAGGAGTAGTTCACTTTAAAAAAAACTTTTGCTGATAATTTACTCACCCCCATGTCATCCAAGACGTCCATGTCTTTCTTTCTTTAGTCGAAAAGAATTTAAGGTTTTTGATGGAAACATTCCAAGATTTTTCTCCATATAATGGACTTCAATGGGGTCCAAACGGTTCAAGGTCCAAAAGACAGTTTCAGTGCAAACTGTTCAAAGGGCTTTAAACGATTCCAGACGATGAATAAGGGTCTTATCAAGCGAAACGATCGCTCATTTAATAAATAAATAAAAAAGTTTAAGTTTTATAAGCTCAAATGCTCGCCTTGCTCTGTTCTGTGATGCGCGTTCGTGACTCTCCTGTTTGAACTCGTTCATTCAATCCGTTCATTTCGTTCGTTGAATGAACCAAATGACACGAAAAAAGATTTGTTCATTTTGATAAAAGAGTTAGAACAGGAGAGTCACGAACGAACAGAACAGAGCAAGGCAAGCTTATAAAACTTAAAGTTTGTTATTGGATCGGATGGTTATTGGATTGGCTCAATCTGATCCGGATAGGAACTTTTCAGGATCACCAAATCTAGATAACCAGTGCTCAAACAGGATAGGAAATGTGGAACTATAGATATGTAAACTATAGATATAAAGGGCAACAAGTAGACACATTGAGGATATTTATAACAGGTTTCAAATATATATCACTAATACATTTTCTAAAAACAAAAACATTTTTGATTGTGATATCAATTAGTGACGGAATACAATTGATTGTTTTTGATAAATTTTGACAGCTGTTTGGGGGATTATTTTATGAGGCCAAACTCTTTCTACTTTGCTGTAGGCCTATACTGAAAGGCTGAATATGTTAAAGCCACTGTAGTCTGACGGATGAACAAATAAAATTAAAACTTTATGAATAAATAGGATATCTTGAAAGATACTGCCAAATATAGTATTAATTGATACATTTTTATAGTTTTCATTACATTTTGGCATGAAATCCACCCTTCTGATGGGATCAGTTTAATCCAGATTTTTTTGGATCAAAGTGATCCTGTTTTTTCTTCTGAAAAACCCATTTTCAAGATTTGATCCAATCCATTATCCAAAATCCTAGTGGATTACTTTTGAAAAACCGGGCCCTGGGGTTAAACAGTCCTTTTGATGAACAATCCTCCTGGATATTATCAGTACGGAGGACTAAACAGTCAAAAATCAACATCATACTATATGTGAAGCACAAAGGTCAAAAATAACCTTGAATAAAACATAAACAAAACACAAAATCTTACATTGACTGAGCAAAAAATCCCATAGATTCCCAGTCTGGACTCTTAAGAGTGGCACGCAGACAGTGTTGCCACAGTTACTTTGAAAAAGTAACTAAGTTATTTTACAAGTTACTTGATTTTTAAAGTAACTAAGTTACTTTACAAGTTACTTGATTTTAAAAGTAACTAAGTTACTTACAAGTTACTTTTATTAGTTACATTCAGCAGTTGCCGACAACACACCCTCAACATAACGACCTCAACATAAAAAAACACACGACGTCAACATAAAAATTATAAGCGGTTTTGCCAACATTCACTTTATTGAAAGTGTATTTTTAACAGTAACATCAACAATCTATCTCCTGTCATTGAAAGTTTAGCTTAAAAACTATTTCCTGAAAAAAACATGTTTTACAAAAAACAAAACAAAAAAAACAGTCTTTCTTGACTTAACTTAAGTCTTTCTTCACCTCACTTAACATAAATACTTGTTTTTATAAAAAATAAAATAAAGACAGCCTTTCTTGTCTTCACTTAACATAAATACTTGTCTTTATAAAAATTTTAAATATAGACTATAAAATTTCTTGACCTGACATATTTAACAGTTAACACTGTGACAAAACTTACTATTTATAATCTGCATTTTTTTATTTTTTTATCTTTATTTTTTATCTTATGTTTAATCCCATGTTATGAGTTAAGGAGAGAGGCGAATAAAACCAGTGGTTGTACATCATTAACAGAAGCTTCTGAAACCTCTCGGGTTGAAACGAAGGCGACCGTGTTTAATCGCAGCATTTCCTCCACAACAAACTGCCCGACCAACTTCTTCAACTCCCCCCACTTACTGGTTTTGCAACGAAGTCCAGCTTTTGCTTTTGTGGTGGGGAACCTGCTCTCTGCTTCGCATCACCTGGCGTGACTTGCTCTGTAAGTTTGGCTGTGCGGTGCTGCGAATCCAAATGTTTTTTGTTTTTTTTTGTTTTGTTTTTTTCAAATTTGACGAAGTGTTTCTGTAGGTAGATAACACTTTGTCACCGCCAGCAGTTTACAACGGACCTTAATGTTGCCGTCTTTAGCTGAGACAAACTCAAAATAGTGACTGTATTTCCAGCTAGAAAAAGCGCATCTCTCTCCTCCCTCCAACGTTGTTTACATTTGTGTCGCTGCGTGCGTGGTACACGTGACGTGAACCTCATGCTGAAAACGTGACTTGTCGCGCACACTCCCCGAGATGCAAGAAGAAATAAATATATGTATTTACTAAGGAAAATTACAAAAATAGTAACGCACAGTGACCTGGATAAGTAACTTTAATCTGATTACTGGTTTCGAAATAGTAACGCGTTATATTACTCGTTACTGAAAAAAGGGGTCAAATTAGAATAACGCGTTACTTAGTAACGCGTTAAGGCCAATTTATACTTCTGCGTCGAGGGTACGCCGTAGTGTACGGCGTTGGCTACGCACGTAGGCGACGCCGTTGTGAGCATTTATACTTCTGCGTTCAGGTATTGGTTGCTCTGCAGTACTGCTCCGAAACGCTAGTTGGCGGCGGAGAGTTTTAATGTTCCACTGTGTTTAGATTCCTCGCGGCTAGGTTACTACGAGTGAAAGAGAGCTGATCATGTTGGAATTGGAGCTTATTAAGGTGGAAAAACAGTTCACTTTAGTGAAATTACTAAAACTGAAAGGCAGAAATGAGAGAAGACTTCGGAGGAGATGAAACTTGTGGAAATCATAGACAGTGGTGAAAATGCGTGAGAAGGTACGTGCGGAAATGCGTCGGAGGAAATGCGATGCTACCAAGCCGACCAATCACCGATCTTGCGGTCCGCGTCGTCGCGACGTGTAGTTACATTTTTGAGGAGGTGCGCGTCAGGCGACGGCGAAGGGTACGCGGTATGGGACGCGTCTGTGCGTATGCTACGCCGTACCTACTGCGCGCACCCTACGCAGAAGTATAAATTGGCCTTTACCGGCATCACTGCACGCAGACATCATGCTGTTCGTCCCCAATCAAATCTAACTTCTTCTATCATTGCCTTTCTGATATCCTAGATAAATTAAGCACACTATCTCCCCCTAGTGTCAGGTAGTAACCTTCCATACCAAAGGAAATCTAATGTGACAGGCCAAGACTGTTACACAGTATAATGGATCTTTGCATCAGGCGTTAAAGTAACAGCAGTCTAATAAATCTGCTGACAAATTATGAGATAATATTAGGAATATATATATATATATATATATATATATATATAAGACCACTAGCCACAGTACCTGGTGAGCAAAAAGAGTTAATGTCGAGCCTAATAACCCCATAAAGCTGAAGGTCTGTGCTGATCTTCACACAGAGATCCGGATGCAGGAGAGGGTGTTCATGGGAATCGGACATAAACCCTTCATGGATATCCAGCCCAGTGACATGGCCATCAACGACCGAGCCATCAACTGTGCTCTCACAGGACGAGGTGAAACACCAGTCATGAGGGGCTTTCGCACCGGAGGAACCTTTTCATAGTACCCGGATTTTGGCGTGTTCAGGAACTAGGAACGATATTAGTTCTAGGAAGGAAATTTAGCTTCTACTTCAGAGTCGAGTCTAAACCAACATGGCCATCAAATGTATCCATTGTGACAAACATTGTGTAATTCAGGGCTCAATTCAAACAAGATCAAAATATTTGTTGTCTCTCGCCATTGACTACTGTACAATATTATTCCGAAATAAGGTCCCATGGTGGTCGACCGGAAGGGACGGGACTTAAAGGATTAGTTCACTTTTGAAAAAACTTTAGCTGATAATTTACTCACCCCCATGTCATCCAAGATGTCCATGTCTTTCTTTCCTCAGTCGAAAAGAAATTAAGGTTTTTGATGAAAACATTCCAGGACTTTTCTCCATATAATGGACTTACATGGGAACCAGACGGTCGGAGGTCCAAACGACAGTTAATAACAGTTTCAGATGCAGCTTCAAATGTCTTTA